GGCTTCCTGGAATCAGCCGCTGATCAGTTTCAGCAGCAGCTGACTTGGGGACAGTTGAATCTGTATGTAAGTTAGAACTGGCGGTCAGTTTCAGCAGCGGCTGAATCCGGATGCCAGTTCTGACTTACATACAGATTCAACTTAAGAACAAACCTACAGTCCCTATCTTGTACGTAACCCGGGGACTGCCTGTATAGGACATATGAATGCAAAGGTTATGACTAACTGAACAGGATTATCCTACTCATACGCATGTATCACTGATATCTGAAGTTAAGGAATATTATGTCCATATTACGAATATTTTTACAGCTGGGGAATGCCCACTAGACCAGTGGTTCCCAAACTTTTCGGCATCACGCCCCCTTTTTGATTTTTGAGAAAGCCTCACATGCTCCCCCCACCCCCAAAAAATAGCAGCAAAACTTGTTGGGGAAAAAAAAAAGGAACTGAAGGGGGATGCTCCATCCTCCCCCTGCCTCAGCCACGCGTGTTCCGGTGGACGCCCGAGCCAGGAAAAACAGAAAATACCGGACATTTCACATGGTATTTTCTGAATTTTTTTACTGGACCGGGGGGAGGAGGGAGAGACTGGTCGCCTCGCGCTGCCCTTGGAATCTCTGCACGCCCCCCAGTTTGGGAAACTATGCACTAGACAGAATGCAATCAGTTTTGATTAGGAAGGGCCATTAGAGGGAGAGACTGGTCGCCTCGCGCTGCCCCTGGAATCTCTGCACACCCCCCAGTTTGGGAACCTATGCACTAGACAGAATGCAATCAATTTTGATTAGGAAGGGCCATTAGGGAGAACAAGGGGTCTTAGAAAATGCTAATCGATCACCAGGAGCCTTCCTGAGGACACTACAATCTCTGAGTTACGTCAGCTGTGCCACTACAGGGACATGTGACCAAGTCACTGGGCATTAGATTCCACAGAATACTAGCATTTTTCCATTGAAATGCATGGGAAATCAAGTGGTCACAAAGGATTCCTGCCATAAACAAAAGCTATTTAAGGCAGGGGAGTGACATCATCGGTGTTCTCCTTCACTGACTCCCTAACCAAGAAAACTGCTGGAAACACCTGAGAAACAAGAACTGAACTGGAAGAAGGGTGAACCTAGGCTAGAGGGATTGCCAG